AATACAAACATTTTTGTCTTACTGTGTTAACCTCACAGGTAATTTCAATATAAACATTTTTGTCTTACTGTGTTAACCTCACAGGTGATTCAAATACAAAATTTTTTGTCTTACTGTGTTAACCTGATGTAATTTCAATACAAACATTTTTGTCTACTGTGTTGATTTCATCTATTCATGGTTTCATCAATTCTTTGGAAAATCTCTGAGTTGAAGCTTAAGTCTACGTTATTTTTTCCACTTTTCAGGTCAAGACAAGCACAGAGCTGTTAGCTGATTAAACTCAAGCATATTCCAAATTGGTGATTCAAGTACAGAGGATGCAAGCAAGAAAGGTTGCTGGTCAAGCCTATACATTCTAAGAGGCCATGCGTGTCATTAAGGCTAGGAGCTCTTAATGAGTGTATTTGTTTTTTCTGGTGATATTTACAATAAATTAATAAAAGGATGCATCACAAGGATTTAAGGTCATATATTAGAATCACTTAATATGTAAATGCCACATATGTAGCTAAGTATTAAGACATTAGTGTATGATAATGTACTTAAAATCTGATAAAAACAAAGCATTTTCAAATGTATTGGAGTTTATATAAGAAAAAATGTTGCAGAAGAGATTTATACATTCTCCATTCAAAGCAAATAGATTCATTTGAGTTTATAATGGAATAAACGCACTTACCACAGAACAACTAAAAACTATGGAACACATACTGCCCACAATACATGCAGTTGCCATGATGTAATATTTCAATTCCAGAAAAGTTGAATCAATCTTAAAGAAAATAGAATGCCTACGTATTGACTTGAATGATAATTAAAACTTCCAACAATTCCCTGATGATAAAATCTAGATAATCAAAAAAAGTCACCCAACTTGAAAACATCATCACACCCATAATTCCTTTTTCTTCAAATCTACCTGATTTACAAATTGAATTAACATAATAATGAATGATTGAAGCAGATGAGTTCCTTAATACTGACCTCAGTCAATCTAGTGTATATTACTGGTTACCATATTACTAATTTCCAAGGAGAAGCTATTATTGTCTAGGAATGCATCAAAAAAATTTGCACGTTTTTTTTCCAAATCAAATCTTTTCAAAGGTTTTGATTAGAACCTTTAGTTAATGGGAATTATCTTCATTTGGCTCAAAATAAAGAGAGAAAAAAATGACATTAAAATGTGCAAAATGATGTTGCCTCAAAATTTGGACTGGAACAAATATGAAGTTCAAAGCATTTGATTTGAAAAAAAATAAAAAATCTAAATCTTCTCAATCACAAGTTCAATTTTATATTAAATAAACAACCAAAATGGAAATTTTAAATGATATTATTGTAGCTTGGGCATATTCCATATGCCAGTCAGCCATTTCAATTTGCTACTTTTACTACTGCAAAAACTCCTTTATCATCACAGCATCACTTCTAATTTTTTTAAAAAAGAAACCAGTAAGCAAGTACTGCTTTATCATTTGAATGCAAAGTCAACTGTTGCCAACAATTGTCAAATGTACATTGCACTGAAATTTTGAGCAGAAAAAGCATGGTTAACCGTAAAAGTACATTATATGCGACATACATGCAGTGTAGCATTCATGTTACATGTACAGTATCAGTACATTTAGTATTCCATTCTTGTACACAATTTATCTCTGCTTTAATTTGAAATGTGTTTTCATGGCTTTTTTGTGTCAACATTTCACAGCAAGAGGTAAACAGAAGGTATTTGATTTGATTTGTGGGGAGTACTTTGGAGGTATATATGCATACAAATTTTAAAGCATGATATTAATGCATGTAATCCCACATGAATCTATATTGCAGCTTTAACCATGTGATATGTCATGTGACTTATCATGTGACTTGTTTTTTTCTAAAGCATGTTTTATGACATTACTGGTGTACTTTTATGAGCTAGTGTTGTTGTATCAGTAATCATAAACATGTGAGCTATAAAATATAAAAGTTAACAGTTAAATTAAATCCAAGCTATAGTCACAGAATGATAATTACAATCATAAAACACTTGGCATGAGAACAAATCTGTGATGGCTGCTAGTTTTAGGGCATTCTGAAAAAAAAGAACCTACACCAACAACCTAAGTAACACTCACACAAACCTTAAATAATTTATCATTACATTTTTAATTTGTTTTCACCTTTTCAAAAATTAAAGTGAAACAAAGAGAATAATAGAATGAATAAACTTGTCAGAACAAGAAACACTTTCATTTCATTTCATTATAGATATACCCTCCGGAAAGGACGAAAGAAAGAATTTACTATATTTGCCCTGTTGAAAGCACACCTCTAATAAAAGTGCATGTAACAGTTACATAAATGGATTATGATCATAGACACACTTCTGTCATTTACAAACACGCATGCGCTGCTAATTGAACAAATTTATACAGCAGTCTCTTATAAAAAAAGGGCAAATACTTATAAAATAACTGCATAAAAGCATAGCAACGGATTGACTCTTGGTGACCGTTTTACTGATTTAAAAACGGTGAATGATATACCCAGCTGCATATTTATTATCATTTACAAAAAAGATTATTAAAAAATTAATCTTAATTGAAAAACGTGAAATAATGTTTTGCCAAAGGGGTGAATGTCGATAATTACTTATAGCAAGAATTAGCTGATGAATTGCTTCACTATGCACACAAATCGTAATTGTTTATTTCCTACTTACCTAAAGTCAAAAGTTGAATTTCCCGCTGTCGCTTCTCTCGCTCCTGGTCCAATTCAACATCAATATTGTGGCTACGTGCTGCAGCTTCTTTGGCCGCTTTCCGACGAAGCATTGTTTATTATATTTATGAGATCAATACTATTTCCTCTCTTCATTCGTTTCTAAACAGACCTGACAGCAAAACTATAAAAACATCCAAAGGCAGCAAATGTCCAACACAATATCACCTGTGGGTTTAAAAATCATGAGAAAATAACTCAGAATTGGTCTAGCCAAGATCAATATCATGGTTCAGGTCTACATTATTGATAGCTTTTCCTCTATTGAAATGTCTTTCCATGTACAACCCAAGGGGGCGATAGCAGATTTAAATTTGTAAAATATACACTATGAGCAATTTTCCATGTGTCCGTCATATACTTCCTTGGCGTGAAAAAGGTAAACACTCTTTTTTTTTCAACCGATCGTCTGTTTTACAAAAAGGTACTGGTCATTCAATTCACGTCTGCTTCTAATCAGATAAAACGAAGTAAACACATTCACGACGGAAATAAAGGTCTGCTAGTACGAACAGACGTGTCGCGTTGTAGTGCGCATCGCACTCAACTTTACGTCCCAGCTTGCATGGTCGCTGGGATTGCCACACATTGCATTTAATTATTGAATATTTGCTGAAATTAGATTTTGTGATGGAATACAAATTCACCAGTTTCGTCTACGCTATTGAGCACAAACTCTAACTGTCATTTTACTTGCCGTGTACTTACCGTTAGTAATATTTCCGAAACGGTCTGCTGTTTCTGGTCAATACGTGTTCACTGCTTTTGAACGTCGTCTACATTTCCCACCATTCCCGACATTCAACCTGTATACTGGTGGCGCCGTTCATCGAAAATCAACCATTCGGATTTTTGCTTGCAAAAAACAGCTCGATTAGTGGAGAGCCACAAGCCCGCCACCAAGAGGTAGTCGGCTGCATAATAAGGCAAAACTAGTGTGGTACCTTTACACGTAAAAAAAAAATGAAAATTGGAATCCCCGTCGTTCGTTTTGAGTTATTGTTTTATTTTTATTTATTTAGAAACACGTATTCCACAGAGGACCAATAATAAAGCAAAAAGCACTCACACAAGGATAATGAAATAACAAATTTATTACTGATTCTAGAAATACACAATAAGAAAACGACACTGTTTTTTAATATTGACAATTTATCTGTTTGATTTCATGGTCCATTTTCGGTTGAAGTGTGGGTTGTAATATAAAAGTAATAACAACAGGTTTATACATATGCAAGGTATATTTACGTTCGTTCAGCCCATCCAAATGATTCACCCCTATTCAAAAATAGTTTCTTCCGTAAATGAAACGACTTGTGTCATTGGATTGACTGAACTCGCAGATATAAAACGGTGTTGATAGGCTAAACCCCAGTCAGACAACATGGCGGAAAGGTTACTGTAACTTGTGTACATGTATTTGTTTCTGAAAGTTTCGTCGATATTTTTGTTTTAAACATACTCTGAACCACCAAGAAGAGGAGCAGCCCTGAAAATTACTTACTTGGAGTGTATTTGATGACAAATTTTGTTTAAATTGTCTGCCCATTCACGTTAGTGGACGCTTGCAGTATGTGTGTAGTGAGACGTCATGTCTGACACTCGGTATTGTGGACCGTAAGACTAACAGACTTTCAGATTTTAGTGTTGTTGGACTTGAATAATGCGAATGTTAAGAGTTGTGCGCTTCCTCCGAAGATTTTCGTCAAGTGGTGTTCCGCCAGACAAGAAGTCATCCCGTAAGTGCTTAATTAGCAGTTGTATCAAACATCACGACTTGACTGCGTGAACAAAAGGTCACCGGGTTAAAAGCGGTTACGTGCTGCCGTGCTGGGGTCCATAGCTCGTCCGCTGTATGTCAACATTTCTGTCATTTTGATACGTGTGATGGTGTTTAGATTGAAAACTACAATTCTAAAGACGCACATGTCTGAAATAACAGAACTGTTGCACGTCGTCACAATTTACACGCAGCTACTTACAGCTAGTCGATTTTGAAATGCGACCTTCCAGTCAGGGTCCTTCTGTCAGCTGATAGATCCGGTCATTAACCTCTGGTATTATCCTTTTTTCAATGAAATGAAATATATACTTACTTTAATTTAATTAAACTAGTATAACATGTACAACAATAAAAATAATCATAATAATAACAAACCCTCTAAATGAAAATTTAACAGGTCTTCAACTTGAATATTCTTGGGTCCTTGAACTTGCTTAGACTAATGGCAATTCTGAAGGAAATATCTAAAATACCTTTTTTGTGGCCGAAAAAATATTCTACAGCACTGGAATGTTGGGAAATGCTAGTTTTATGCAACGAAACAACTTTTTGTTATATATAAATATGTCCAGAACAATATGGTGGCGTATATTTTCTATTGACGTTGGAAAATTTCAATTTGATTGGCCCTTGTGGGAAATCTTCTGTAATTTTGCTTCCAGTTGAGGTATTTGGGATAGTTAGACGTATCAACCTGCTTATTTTTCAGCTACAAAGCTGAATGCCTCCTAAATCTACCAATACAGCCCTTCACATACCCGGTAGTCCTGGTCTATATGACTACTCGGGACTGTGGGGTCTGAATGATCAGCTTGAGGAGGCCAGCCTACAGGACTATGGGTCACATGACCAAAGATGGTGACTTTGACTGTTGCCCAGACTAACAAGTAGAAACTGACACATTGCCAATCTTTAACAAGATAATTTCTTTGGTGGTTGGAAAGTGTAGGAGTCACCAGCGGAAATTAGTACACGTCTCCGCCAGGTCATAACTCTTACTCATGTTTATCGTTATAGAACACATTGGCTTGTTGAAAACTCAACGTTTATCAAACACAAATTTCGCACATGTATGATGCTACGACCTCCGCCCTTTAATTTTAATAAAAATTTAATTACTGTATATTTATTTTCATTGATATAAGTTTTTGCAATTTGAGGGTGTTTATGATGAAATATCTCAAAACACACTGACTTGCTGCCTAAAAGATCCCAAATAAACAGTTCACTGCTACTGAATTTCCCATGATTTATGATTTATTAGTGTTTTGCATGGACCCAGGTGAAAATAAAATTGTTTTACAATTTCTTTTGCAAATTAGTTCACAAGTCCTGTGCACAGTCCCTCTTCTCCAGTCTGGAAACTGTCATTGTATTAGGTGTGAATTGGGCTCCTTCCCTGGCAAAGGCGCATTGCGGGTATGGGCAAAGCATTATTATGTATTTTTTTACAACTTAGTTGTTTATTCCAGAATTCGTGCTTTTTCACATAATTTTTTAATCAGGATATCTGTATAAGGTCATATTTTAGCCGGAGAGTAGTTTTTTAATTCATCTATTTTACCAGCAGGACACATTTTCGCAACAAATTTTCATACCTTTACCCAGATATTTGTCGCTTTTGATTTTGGGGTGATTGAAATGAACTCTATTTTATTTACCATACTTCTCGGCGCGAAATCAATATTTGTCTTCGATTTTGACATTTTATGATCGAAACATATCATTAAAAATTGGTGGGCTGATTTGTTATTTGTCACACCGCATTTTATTATTGTTAAATTGAGCGACTTTTATGGATGCTTTTTAGATCGTAAATGCAAATGGCGACGTTTTGAAATGACAATGTACTCAATTCTGTGCTAAAAAAATCATTTATATACAAACATTGAAGCATTGTTATATACTTTTGGATAGAATAAAGTCATTAGTTGTTGTATAGTTGACTTGAACTGTTATGAACCCCCCAAGAATCAGAAATATCACAGGTTTTTCGATCGACTACGTTAACATGAACGACGCCATTTTGACAAGATTTGTTTAGCGATGTCAGCATGTTTGCACGCGAAGTTTTTTCCCTATTAAAACGAGAAAATGAACATTATTCCCGATATTAATCTTTGCATTGCGGGAACTGGATGTTTAGGGGTTGGTAGGCTGGTTGTGATGCGTATCAGGGTTCAAAAAAACAAATTTCATGGTGATAATTTTGTTTACATGTTTGTTTACGTTGTTGTTGCCCGAATTTGAAGTGACAGTGAAGTCATGCAATGAGGTATCGCTTCGCATGACGGTAAATTTTCCGATTTTAATGAATATTTTGACGGTACTGTAATCTGTCTGACTTCCTGACTCCCTCGGCTTGGGTGTGAATGGTTTGTTTACACGCACCATGGTTCGAGACAAAAGAACGCTAGTCGTTTCCAGACCGGGGATAGAGGGACTGTGTCCTGTGACACAACTCATTGTTTGATCCATTGGCAGTTAATGCTAGAAAATATAAATCAACAAGTCTAGAATCCAACAGCAGTAAGAACAATGTATATGAGCTAACTTTACTTCAGATCAAAATGACTTTCAAGCGCCCAAAAGTACTTGTATTCAAGCTACATGCATTTCAAGGTTGGCTGCAGAGACACCAGGG